AACCAGCACTGCAAGTAAACACACAGGCCTGCGTTTAATCAATAGTATTTAAAGGGATAGTTCACCCCGAAATGAAGATTGTGTCATTAATTACTCACCCTCATGTCGTGTAAGACCTTCCTCTGAAGGCCTGAACGTTTTTAACACAAAAATAAACAATAACACAATACATTTTGGGGTAATTTTACTGCATAAAGACTTTTTTTTGTTTGTTTTAAATCATTTAAGTCATCTTGAGGCCTAATTGGACGTTTGCCCACCTCACGAATCCACGTTTGCAAGACAGATATGAATAAATACACTGAAAGTGGAGATCAGAAACCGTGTAGGATGAACTGAGTTCATTCACTGAACCATTTTTTCTGGCTTATAACAATCATTCATTAAGAGCCAATACACATTGTGTTGATTTAGTTTATTTAGCAAGGGCTAACGGAAACTCTTGTGCGCTATACAAACCGTCTCTCGTTATGTGAACAGATATATGCAACAAATGAGTAGAAAACAGACCAAAAACATCCTTCTCTTAATACCAAACACCCAGTAACTGTGGCACAGGATGATTAACGGCATAATTAATGTATCAGGTAGATACTGTACATGTTCCCTGCAGGTTTACTACATAAAATGTGACCCTGGAGCACAAAACCAGTCATAAGTGCTTTGGCATAAGTTTTATACATCATTGGAAAGCTGAATAAATATCCGAGGGTGCAAAAATATTGAGAAAATCATCTTTAAAGTTGTCCAAATGAAGTTCTTAGCAATGCATATTACTGATAAAAATTACGTTTTTATATATTCACGGTAGGACATTTACAAAATATCTTCATGGAGCACGATCTTTACTTAATATGATTTTTGGCATTAAAGAGAAATGTATAACTGTGACCCATGCAATGTATTGTTGGCTATTGCTACAAATATCCCCCAGAGACTTCAGACTAAGCTTTAGTGCTCCAGGGTCTCAAATGATGAAAATAACCACATCACATCCGTTTTAGTAAACATACCATCAATGTTGGGTCTAACGAGACGCTCTGAACAGCTCGATAAAACCCCCAGAGGTCGGATCTCTACACTTTTCCTTGTTGAAGTGCAGTCATACAGTCCTGCTGGTGTGTCTGATGTAGATCCTCTCCCATGCTACCGTCCCGCAGTGCCACAGGTTGCAGATGACTCCTCTGCACATGCTTAAACATGCACGCTTCAGGTTAACTCATGGTGCATTATAAAACTCTTTATTCTGAACCCAAATGGACTGTGAATAGTCAGTTTTTCACAGCATCTCGGTGTTAAAGATCTAAACATGATCGATAGAGTCGAGTGTGTGATGAGGGGAAAGTGCAAATCAGCTTAATGAATTGCTCCAGTGGGATCAATAAAGCTAAGGCATTGCTTACTGTATGCTTTACAGTATAATACCGCAGCGCTTTTCAATATTTTAGATGCCACAGACCCCCAGATACCATCATCCTCGTGAGAGGGACCCCCATTCTAAACTTTAAAATAAAATATATTTCATGTATAAAGAACCAATTACTACTGTGAAAAATTAATATTGCAAATATGGGGAAATATGAAAATATTGCAAATATTTCGTTTCTGTTACTTAACATTCTGACCTTTTTTTCTGCACACTATAACACTGTTAAATGCATAAATAGATAATTAAATAAAATATGACTTAAATAAATAATAGTTCAGTCAAATTTTATTTATTGTAATCTTTTATTTCTTTTAATCACATTTATTTATTTATTTAAATCAAATTTAATTGAATCCAAATGTACGTGTATTCGTATTAGTTATTTCAATAAAACTTTATTTAGTTATTTGAATTTTTTTTATTATTAATGTATTTAATTAATGTATGTTTTTAAGTCAAATTGAACTTATTTTAATCAAATGTCTTTATTTATTATTACAAATTATTTATAAGTTATTTTGTAAATAAAATTGTATTAATTCATTTGTAATAAAATTTTTAATTTAGTTGTTATTTATTTAATTTGAATAATAAACTTAAATTATTTTTTTAATGATTTTTTATTGTTATGTATTTATTTTTAATCACATTTGGTTTATTTAATCATTTATATTTATTTGGTTGTTTATTTGAATGAAATTCAATGTATTTTAATACATTTTATTTTCAGTTTAATCAAATGTGTTTAGTCAGTTTGTTTAATCTTATTTATTTTATTTTTTTTACACACTTTTTATTTTCTACGGACCCCCTAGCACTTTCTTTGTGGCCCCTGGGGGTCCCCACAGACCCCAATTTGAAAACCCCTGGCATTATGCATATAATACGTGAAACTGCATTATGCAATGCAAAATATTTCAGACAGAACATCTAACATATGAAGTTTAAAAAAAGACATCAAATGCATGTTCTGTTCAGACTCACCTGTAAACCCCAAGATACTGCAACAGACTGCACACACAGGTACAGCAGGAACCATCTGTGACTCCTCTCACCAACACAGCGGTCTATCCAGGGACAGTGATGGTCAAAACGCCTCACATTTAACAATGCTTGGCCCTCATCGGTTGCAGGTTCACATACAAAGAGAAACAAGAGAGACTGGACAGATTTGACTGGAGGAAACACACACACTTTTAAACAAAACCTATATTAAGAACACTTAAAACATAGCTATACTATTAAGTACACAGTGATTTGACCTGCAGATGGCAATGTGTTCAAGCTCTGATCAGAACAAAGAGGCCTGCATGAAATACACACTGCAGTTTAATTTAGTTACAGAGATATGAGCCATAACTGTTCAGAGACCAGGTCTAATCGAACTAGGACTGAACCCGTAATCTTGTGTAAATAGGTCAGATGGTGAAATATAATATTAGCTATTTCACCAGATTATGCAAGAAAGGCATCAGCAGATTTTAAAGTGTAGCATGTATGTATATACATATATAAACACACACACACACACACGTATATTTTTTATAGTTTTATAACTTTTTAGAAGCAATTTCCAGAATACATTAAAACTTCTTAATTTATTAATATTTTAAATATTAAACAATTGGAATGTTTTTCAAAATGCTTGTAGTATACACATGTATCAACTTGTTAAATTTAATGGAGTAATTCGTCATATTAAATAAAAACCATTTTAGTGACACGCACGTAAACGATATAAAATATGGAAGAATTTAAAAAAATAAAATTGCAAAACAAAAGACAATATACTATGAATATTATGTTTTTATTGAAAAAATAAATTACATTTTTTTTTTTATTATGAACTAAAAATGTAGCCACTCTGAAACATAAACGCGGTTACAGTGAAAATCTCGAATCATTCATTCCCGAAACGCCTCACATTTGACAATGCTTGGCCCTCATCGGTTGCAGGTTCACATACAAAGAGAAACAAGAGAGACTGGACAGATTTGACTGGAGGAAACACACACACTTTTAAACAAAACCTATATTAAAAACACTTAAAACATAGCTATACTATTAAGTACACAGTGATTTGACCTGCAGATGGCAATGTGTTCAAGCTCTGATCAGAACAAAGAGGCCTGCATGAAATACACACTGCAGTTTAATTTAGTTACAGAGATATGAGCCATAACTGTTCAGAGACCAGGTCTAATCGAACTAGGACTGAACCCGTAATCTTGTGTAAATAGGTCAGATGGTGAAATATAATATTAGCCATTTCACCAGATTATGCAAGAAAGGCATCAGCAGATTTTAAAGTGTAGCATGTATGTATATACATATATAAACACACACACACATGTATATTTTTTATAGTTTTATAACTTTTTAGAAGCAATTTCCAGAATACATTAAAACTTCTTAATTTATTAATATTTTAAATATTAAACAATTGGAATGTTTTTCAAAATGCTTGTAGTATACACATGTATCAACTTGTTAAATTTAATGGAGTAATTCGTCATATTAAATAAAAACCATTTTAGTGACACGCACGTAAACGATATAAAATATGGAAGAATTTAAAAAAATAAAATTGCAAAACAAAAGACAATATACTATGAATATTATGTTTTTATTGAAAAAATAAATTACATTTTTTTTTTTATTATGAACTAAAAATGTAGCCACTCTGAAACATAAACGCGGTTACAGTGAAAATCTCGAATCATTCATTCCCGTGAACATCCGTCTTAAAGCAGTTTCCAGTCCTTCAGATACAAACACAAATCTGTGCATTTATATATGTTGAGATTAGTGTATTCAAAACCCCCAATACTGCAAGTAAGCATATAATGTGCATTTATTACTCGAACAAATGGTCCCCGTCACAAAACACTCACCCTCTGACAACGTTTACAGTCATTGCATTACATTCACAATTGACTAAAGCAATTAAAGTGCATTCGTCTTCAAATCAACCAGATATTATATTAAGGCAAAGCGAAGAACAACAGTGTGCCGATTTACAATAACCACAATTAAGATGAAATTAGACGGCACTGAAAAACACAAACACCGGCTTCCGAAACTCAGAGACCGTGCAACACATTCATTAAACTCTCAGATGCCACAACATACATAAATATCTGGTTATTTTAAAGATACATATATACATATACAATACATTACTTTAGTCATTATAGAGCAGCTTTAGTAAGAAACGGGCAATGCAACTTCAATCAGCATGAAATAATGCATTTGACAGTAGTTTGTAGTGTCGATTGCATTGCATTGCATCATAACAGCACTCGACGACTCCTCGCAGTGGCACTTTACATGTATATGACCAAACACACACACACACAATAAACACTGGTCCCTGATTTCAGCTTCCGAACTTCATTTTTACCGTTCTAGAACACTAAATAAATAGAGATATTCGTTAGCAGCATCCTCGCTCACATTCACAGAATGAGATGGCCTCCACACCGCAAGGCTCAAAGCCTCGAGATTCACAGCTTCATCTTGACTGCACGCCTAACGTCGTCTTGATGTGCTCGTACACCACGTAGCTGACAATAAACACTGGTCCCTGATTTCAGCTTCCGAACTTCATTTTTACTGTTCTAGAACACTAAATAAATAGAGATATTCGTTAGCAGCATCCTCGCTCACATTCACAGAATGAGATGGCCTCCACACCGCAAGGCTCAAAGCCTCGAGATTCACAGCCTCATCTTGACTGCACGCCTAACGTCGTCTTGATGTGCTCGTACACCACGTAGCTGATGCTGACGGCCGGGATGACCTTCAGGAAGTTTGGCGTCAGGCCCCGATAGAGACCCGTGGGGCCCTCGGTCTTCATGATCTGCTTGAAGAGTCCTGTCATTGAGACCTGAGACGCGCCTTCAACCGCAGCTGCAGAAATAAAAAACAATATTCAGTAAATGCACCATAAACCGGGGCTGCTTGATTATAGCAAAACCATAATTATTTTGGTCAATATCAAGAACATGATTTTTCATCAACTTTGGAAAAGTCGTGCATTAATTGAACTTTAAAAAAAAAGTTTTTTTTTTTACAGTGGATTTTCTTGAACTTTAAATACAATTAAACCAATAAATTAAAACGCATTTAATTAAATATATAATTAAAATATGCATTAAAAAATAGAAAATAAAGTGTATTAAATCATATAAATAAAATGGATATTAAATATATGTTAAATTACACATGCATTAATAAATGTATTAAATATAATATAAATAAACATGTATAAGCTGCATTAATATCAAAAAGTATATTAAATAAAATGCCAAAAAATGTATTAAATATAAATATAATAGTGTATTAATATACAAGGAATTAAATAAAATGTATGTTAAATATGATATAAATATGAAATAAATGTTATATTAATATATATTTTATTCTTTTATTTAAATAAAATACATACATTAAATATATAAATAAAATGTATTAAATAGAATATATTAAATAAGATTATTTACAGCTATTATAAAGCATGAAACTCACCTTGCGCCTGCATGCGTGTTCGTACGAGAGCTAGCGGGTAGCTTGCGAGTTGGCCGCACGTGCTGGAAACCGTACCACAGGCTAGCAGCACAAACACACCCGGATCCGCATTCTCCGTCCCATAGCGCTGGAGCCAAGTGTTCTTTAACGTCTATCAAGAGCAAAAGAGGAAATAAAATGAGCTCTTTCTGCTGGTGAGTGACAGCAGCAGCGATTGCTTTAGTTTGTGTTCCTCTGCTCACCTCATAGACGGCCAGGTCGATGCCAGCATACGGGATGATGCCCAGCATGTTGGGGATGTAGCCTTTGTAGAACGCAGAAACCCCCTCGCCCTTCAGGATGTGTTTGGCGCAGTCCGAGATGCCCTTGTACTGGCCCGTCTTTCTCAGCGCCAGACGGGTTTTCAGAACCTGAACAGAAGAGCATTGAGAGGTTTGATTTTTAACATCAGGCCAGCTTCATTTCCATGGCAAAAACCCATGTCTGAGATACCAATGGAAATAGCAACCAAATAAAATCTTTAAGACCTATTTTCCCCAGTTTAAGATTGTTCGAACACTAAAATGGTGTAAAACGCACCTCCATGGGGTAGATGGCGCTCTGGGCGATGACTCCGGCCAGGGAACCTGCTAGGAAGCGCTCGGTGATCCCCAGAGTTTCCCGACTGCTTCCCATCAGCCGTTTGATCTGACAAAGAAGAAACGTGACTGATTTACTCAACGGCACTTATACACACACACACACATGTGATCAGCTAAGAACAGAAATGGAAAACCTGGTTTTCCACATTCAATTTGACTATACAACAATAATAATAAATAATAATGTGAATATTTTTTATAATCTATAAAAAGTAAATATTACAATTGCAATGATACTGTATTATAGCAATAATAAAGAGTATAATAATAAAAATAAAAAAACAGTAAATTGCTAATATTTATTTCACGTTCCTTGCCATCCTATCAGTTTTAGTTTACATTTTGAATTAGATTTTATTTGTTTGCATTTCTAAATAATATTTTTAGTTATGATTTTGTAGTAAAAACATCTATTTTTATTTTTTAATAGGTTTTGTTTTAGCTTTTTTTTTTTTTTTTTAAATGGGTTTATTCTTTTAGGTTTTATTAAGTTTTAGTTTATTTAATTTGAAATTATTGTAGCATTTCAACTTTGCTATGCTTTGACAGCTAGTTTTTTTTTTTTATATTTTATTTCAATTATTCAGTTTTCAGTTATGTATTTTATTTTAAGTAATAAATATTTTTGTATGGTTTTAGTTGACCATAATAAACTGGTTTCTTTGTTTTCAAACATTGACTATAAAGCTTAATTTTGTAATTGCATTGAACACGCTGCAATTTTTCTTCATTACGCTTCTCGTATCCCTGACAAAACAAGCACATCTGGTCTCTGGTCTCTTACCTGCTCATAAGCCATGAATTTGAGGGCCGTCTCGGGCGCGATTTTGATGACGTTGATGCCGTTGCCCCTCCATAACGAACGTATCCCTCCTTCCTTGATCATCTGGGTGAGACCACTCATGATACACATGTTGTTTCCATGAGATCCATGCACCTAAAGCAGAAGAACCAACAATATAGGCTTATCAGAACAGTGGGTCAATATGAACAGATGATATCATACTTTCATGTTATTAAATTAAAACTAGAGCAAAGTTGAAGACTTCAGAAAAATGTAGGTGAAAGGTTTTGGCCCAAATCACTGAACTACCAAAGTCCGTTTGAATAACAGCTGACGTAAACATGACAGATCTTCACTATCGCTCGACCGTGACAACGTCAAACGCTATCTCGTATCTGACCAATCAGAGCACAGCACAGAGGGTGTGCTTGACTCCTCGCTTTCTGATTGGTCAACTGACTGGACTGTATAACTATTCACAGAGTCCAGATCGTTTCACTGGAACATACATTTATGATAATGATGACCTCCTATTATGACTCTTGGGTAACAAAACCAATTGTTCAGATTTAACCCCAGCAGCTGGTTATGAAACCAGTTCGGACTTCGTTATAAAACAAGAAAAAAAGATAGCTTTATTATTTTAATATAGCAAAAAAACACAAGCTGTAACACTAATGTAGTTCTATTCACCCTGCAGTGACTATGGTGTTTTGCAGGTAATTCGAAGGTGTGTGCATCGCTGTACCTGCATGAGGACTTTAAGACGGTCGAGCGGAGCAGTGCAGGTTCGGGAAACCGCTCCAGCTCCTCCACCAGCGACCAGATGTCTCCACCACATCCCCGTCATGTGCTCCTCTGAGGTAAACTCATCTGGGACCATCATGTTCTCTCCCACATCGAAGATCTGCAAACAAACAGATCACCGACATGGTTAAAGACAACTGACAATAAACACAGGACATAATTATCCAATATAAAGATATCGGTCAAGCACGGTTTTCAGTCAACGACAGCTACACTCTAAAAAAAATGATTTTCAGAGTTATAAAACATACTCCAATAATCTCTTTTTGTACAAGAAATACCATTTCAGTCTTTCAGTCTAATTTCACCTTTAACTGAATAAAAAAAAAAAAAAACAATGAACTAGTTTATTATAATTTGTGAAATTTACGAGTGAAAATAAAAATGCTAAATTAAATTTTTTTTTAATTAAGTTGTAAATAATATTGGAGTATGTTTTACAAAAAATAAAAAAAATAAAAAATTATATATATATATATATATATATATATATATGTATGTGTTACTTGCCTTTTCTTTGTAATTATTTGTGAAACTAACAATTTCTGAATGAAAATCATTTTAAAAGTGTAGAAAAGGAAGTACAAAATAAAAATATTATTGGAGTGTTCTACAAGAAGATACTATTTCAGTCTAATTTGACATTTAATTCAATGTGTTATTTGCCATGTCACTGGAATTAGTGAAAATATTTCTAAATTGTAAGTTGTAAATAAAACAAACTGCAGTACATTTGACCAAAAACTAAATTATTTCCATCTTTCTTCTTCAAAATTTCACTTTTACTTCAGTGTTACTTGCCATTTGTAATAATTTGTGAAATTTACTAGCAATTTCTGGGTCTAAATTTCTACACCAGATTTTTTTATTTTTTTTGCCGTGTAGTATTTCGCATAAGTGCAGCTGTTAACTGCAAGAGAACTAAAGTGCAACGGCCTTGGCAGCAACAGCGTGTGCGTCAGAGTCGTCTGACCCGACCAGTGACGCTGCCAAAAACCTGGAACTAGTCTGTGTGTTTTTTAGGGCACCATTGTGCCATTTCATCCAAAAAAATCCATTGTGAACTCTACAAACTCGTGCACATTGCATCAGATTTCCAAGTGCGTCTCGCTGCGCGCTGAACTCTGCCTCGTGAGAACAAAGGCTGCAGTCCGGTTTAAACCGGAGTTCAATAAGAATCTAAAGTAGGTCATTGATCTTGAACTGCACAAAGTCTCAAAATCATCTAATTGCGAGTGTCAACAAGAATTGTTGCATAAGGTGTTGCACTGGAGGGACAGTTAGTCCTGGTTTAATTTGAATGCTCTGACATTTGATTTGCATTTTTAATGGATGGATTTATGCACAAACTCTGGCGGCTGTATTAATAGAAGGAAACTCTGGAGACAGACTAGTTAAGATTTAGTAGCTGCAAGGCTATACCTATTAAATTGGACCCCGTCCTAGATCACGGTGTTCCAGTGGGACTGGAGATATTTTAGGCAGTCATGTTAAGACTGTCAACAACCATATACGGAGTAGTTTGTGTTTTTCAGCAATAGTACTGTGCACCCTTAATTTACAGAGAAAAGAAGGTCCGGAAGGTACAGAAAAATCTCCATACAAGTTCTTTGTGCATTTTTCTTTTTTTCTACTTGTTACTTTGCACTTTTTGTTAGAAAATGTTTATTTACTATTTATTCAGGCATCTAATATTTTGATACTTAATTTCCATGATCTAAATATTCTTAAAAATGTAAAGTTTGTTGTCATTTGGAAGTGTGTAGGCCTTCTTGCATTATTATGCGGTTACATTATGATTATATATTCAGTGGCATAAAATGGTCTTTAAAATGACAATAATAATCGCTTATCGCAATTATTTCTGGCGCAATATATCGCACAACTAAACGTTGTTATCGTGACAGGCCTAAGTAGAATTCAAATAAATAATGCAATAATAAAAAAATACTTAAATGAATAAAAGCAATAAAACGTAATTAACCGATAAGGCTTTTCATGGAGTGTGTCAGTCAAACAGTGACAATTAGAATAAATGACAGCAGTTTTAAGACTTAAATGCCCCACCAGAAAACATCATTGCCGCATTCAAACAATATTTCACCTTTGAAGGACTCTCTCCGCTTGCTGGAGGGAAATATGGACGCCAAGATCTCGCAGTGAGTTCACAATGTCACTGGCGTTCACGTGACCTGATGTGGAACAAATAATCAAAATGTCAGCTATTTTAAAAATCACCAAGTCGCAAATGCGCAAGCATTGCATTAAGGTATAATACCAGCAATCTTTCTATCCAGGCTTTTAAAGACGAGCTTCAGGTCTTTCTCGTGGTCTTGGAGGTAGTGAACAAACTCTTCAAAGTCCAGCTGTCCATTATGCTCCTTCTCTTCAGTTTTCATGGTTTTCTGTGAGGAGAAAAGAAAGATGCAAGAAAACGTGTGAGAGAATATCCAATGCATTGCATCTGTAAACGAATGCACAATCAGTAAAAGTGAACGTGTGAATGCCAACACCTGGCAAACTAGAACAGACCGAATGAGAGCGTCTTATTACACGAGAAACCGTGCAGATCAGATAATAAAGCCACGTTCAGACAACATTATTAACCACCGACACTGATAGGAACATTGACTCATAAGACTTGCATTGTAATTACTGAATGCATTCACTTAAATACATGCTTATGAGATTATAGTCATATATAGACTCTCATCCAGATGATTGCAGCAGCTCAGACAGTCATAATAATCAATAAACATTCAAACGTGTCAATTCCAATAGCATGTACTGTCTCAGTGAAACTGCACCGCTAGGGGCGCCATACAGCCTTCAGTTCAAGGACAGCGACATACAAGTATAATGCACGAGTTACAGTAGCATGGTACTGATGTGATTAAACAATAGTACACATTACTGACGCACTCCAAGTAGTCGACAGCGATAAAAATGCACGCTTTTATGTTTAGTTGTGGGCAACTCCATATATGGGCATCTGAACGGAAGCGCGCGAGCGCTGGAAAGAGGAACGGCCACCGGAAACGTCACGTTTGAAAAATGTGGTAAACTACTTTTTAGTTTGTTCGGTTTAACGACTTCACAACACAATGAAAGATATATAGATCTGTATACATTGTCTTACCTTCCTCCACTTTCGATACGTAGAGAATTCCTGCGAAGGTAGAAGCACACTGAGGGACTTCAGCGACTTCAGCTCGGACGGTAATCCGTTCGATTCAAAGTACTCCACCTCGACCTGATCTGAATTATGGACGGGCACATAAAGGCACAGGCACAGCATCTTGAAAATAAGACAAGTCTTCGACAATAAATAAATAAATAAGAGGAGAACACTCTCGCTTGCCGGCGGTTAAACGCTGAAATGCCGGTAAAGCGCCTGATCACGTCGAGAAAAGTCCTTAGACACGCCCTGAGTGAAGGTCGGCGCACTCTGATTGGTCAGCGCGTTTTACGCATTTGAACGCCGTTCTTGACGTCAGAGGCTAATCGTCCAATCAGGGGTGAAATCCATTGCGTTCGTATGTAAATAAGACCCGCCTCTTCCACTACACTCGGCTGCACTAGAACAGACATGTGACATGCTGTGAGCTTTCCCAATGAGTGACTCACAGAATTTCACACTTTCTCAAGTGAAACTCCTCAGAACACAGAGAAACCGGGACAGACCTGCAGCAACATGTTCTATACTGGAAACAAAAAATACAGAATTATTTAAAAAAAAGTTATTGGCCTACCTAAAGCTAGTTAGCATGCCTCAAGCCAAAACAGGGTTCTTAGTTAACCAAAATGAACTAAAACCAAAGGTCATAAACCTTTTTTGTACTTGAAATAATATATATATATATAAACTTACTTTATTTCAGCTAGTTTCCAAGGCACCATGTCATATTTTCATTTAGTTTAAATATATGTATTAAAATAATACGACTCAAATTTAAATAAATATAAATAAAACAAACAAAAAATATATATTTAGGCTAACTCAAATTTAAAATGAACATGCAAAATATAAAAACGAACTCGAAATATTAATAGAAATATAACGGCATGATAGTAAAACAACACATTTTGAATTGTTTTCCATTTGCTGAAAAACGTACGAGTTTAAACTTATTTTGTGCAATTGCACCTGACTTTTCTGAGTGCAGCTATAATCTCTTATGGTAATTTACTTAAAAGTGAACAAAAAGAGTCTATGGGGTTGCATACGAAATGATAATAGGCTGTAAAATGCCAAAATCTAATAAAATGACAACAATAACTACACTGACTTTCATGAGACATCTTCACTATTGTGCTTTAATATGTGTATTTATATGTTTATTGTGATTATGAGAATTAACCCCAATGCATATGGAAAACTTTTCTGTGACTTGTCTTTAAATAGGGTAAATATTTTAAATAACACTGAAGCCTGAAGCCTAAATATTACTATTTGGAGGTAAAAAAAACCAGCAGGTCAGTGTGCGGTACTTTCTTGGTTAGCGGCAGCAATTAACGTTAGGCCCAAATATAAACGGCGACGCTGAACTTTGTAGGGCATAATCCTGCAGCAATATTACGTCAGAGTCTGAAGGATAAGCGTCCGTGCCAAGACTAACTCCAGAGAGATTTATATGGTATCTGTGCAGAGGGGGACACCAACCGACTGACCATCTGTAACCTGAATACAGGACATGATTCGCACGCAGCGAGGGAAAAGCCCGGTATACGGAGAGGACTGGTGTTTAGACCTTTTCATATACCAGAATTATTAAAGGAATAGTTCATCCAACAATGAATGTCTGATGAAAATGTGCTCACCCTCAGGCTATATCGGATGTAGATGAATTAGTTTTAGTTTTTTTTTGTCAAAAACAGATTTGGAGAAATGTAGCATTGCATCAGTGTCTCAGCAATGGATGCTCTGCAGTGAATGGGTGCCGTCAGAATGAGAGCTGAAAAAAGATCACAAGTATTCCACAGCACTCCAGTCCATCTTGAGAAGACAAAAGCTGCATGTTTGTAAGAAACAAATCCATTATTAAGGCATTTTTAACTAAGCAACCCGAACTAAAATATGAGTCCGTAATAATGCTTCCTTCGGTGAAAACGTCCCGCCACATATTTGTTTAGAGCTGTTTTCTCTTGTAAATGGTGCTTGATCTGTGCAGATTTCTCTCCTGATTCAGACCAGAGGACTTTGGGAAGCATCATTATGGATTATGGACTTATATTTCGATCAGAAGCAATGGTTTGAACGTCTTAATGATGGATTTGTTTCTTATAAACACATAGCTTTTCATTTCTCAAGACGTTAACTGATGGACTGGAGTGGTGTGGATTATTGTGATGTTTTTATCAGCTGTTTGGACTCTCTTTCTGACGGCACCCATTCACTGCTGAGCATCCATTGGTGAGACACTGATGCAATGCTACATTTCTCCAAATCTGATGAAGAAACAAACTCATTTATATCTTGGATGACCTGAACATAAGTAAATTTTCAGTAAATTTAAAGGAATTCAGAGAAATGTATGTTATCTTTCATTCGTCAATACAAATTATGTATATGTATATTTGCACTGTCAGAAGAGTACAGTGTCATATGATGAAGTAATTAGTGATCTTCAGTGTGAGTATTACAGTTCCTCTACTCCCAAACCAAAATAGGACATTTCTTATGCATCAGCAGCTTTGTAACACAATCCAGTGCAGCTGGAGAGAAGCAGTGCACTCATGTACTGTATGCAACATGGCCTTATGATTGAATTTGACTCCAGTGCTCTCTAAAAACTAATTTTAGCCGAGTCACACATTAGTGATCACTAAACACATGGAAGGGGAGAGACGCAGGCTTTGGGAGTCAGTATAGAGCTCTGATTTCATCCAGCAGGGCTGTTCGGTGCAGAGAAAGACAACTCTGTGTGAAATCTGTGATATTTCATTAATTCAAGACCTTTAGTGCATGCATGAAACAGCAAAAAAAGTTTGCCACATTTTCAGTGTCTCAGATGTCTCTGGAGCTTTCTTCTTCTTACACTAAAACAATTTGGTGTGATTTAGTAGCTATTTTTCACTCAGAAATTGCTAGTAAATTTCACAAATAATTACAAAGAAATGACAAGTAACACACTGAATTAAAAGTAGAAGTAGAAAAACTATTTTCTTGTAAATTTAAAATATTTTTTATTTTTCATTTTCTTAATTGGTGTGTTCAGTAAAGTACTGAGAAATTATACTTAAATAAGGACACAATGTCTAAGTTGTGCTTGAGTAAAATTAAAAAGTGTCCACATTTAATTATACTAATAAAATTATATATATGATTTTATGTTGTGGTGACTGTTATTTTAGTACCGGTTTATTTCAGTCCACTGCTAATATTTCTATGAAGCCTTTATCAAAGACAACCCCGTTTTATAAGATTTATAGTTTACATGAACTTCAAAGCTCTGGTTATGACCTGTTCATTTTTGAAGGTTATAAGTTTGCACACTTCAACAATAGCTTCTTAGAAATGCCACGGGTCAAATCTTTACTCTCAAGAGCACATATTTGCACAAGCTTGACAATGCTGGAAACATCCTGTCAGTGTACTTAAGACTATTTTTAGTAGGTTTTGTCGTGGCAATAGTCTGAGTCGTACTGTAGATACTTGTTTCAGTCGGATATGAGGGCTGTTGTTTTTATTATGTGCCACTTTTGGTTTCCTTGCCTTCCATATAAATATAGTCCAGAAACCTTACTGTTTATCGGTCGAATGAAAGGACAGTATCTGCGTCATAATTCACCTATAAATCTGGATGCATTGGACAGATAATTGTTACTTTTGCACTTTAAACAAGAAAGCTTCTGTTCAAAACCTACATGTGAATGTGAAACTGCTTGTTTGCTTTCTTCACTATTAAAGAAGGGGGATACATTAATAATGAATGCACATTAGAATTCCAGTCAAAATGTATTTCTTCTGAAAGCTGTTCACTGTTTTACAATGCTCTGTATCCATGTTTTGAATACCATAATTATATTTTGCATTTCTTAATTGTAGAGATTTATAATATAATATAATATAATATAATATATATTTTATGTGACTATATCATTCACACACACACACACACACACACATACACACACACACACACGCACACTAGTCAACATTTGAAGTGGATCAAAACCTTTCATCAAAGTTGTCCTAAAATGCGTTCATGTCTTAGGACAACTTTGATGAACTTTTTTGATCCACTTCAAATGTTGACTACTTTAGATTTTATAACAAAGATATAAAAATACAACTATATACATATATACAGTGGTGTGAAAAGGTTTTTGCCCCCTTCCTGTTTTTGTAATTTTTTGCATATTTGTCACACTTAAAAGATTCAGATCATCAAACAAATGTTAATATTACACAAAGATAATGCAAGTAAATACAAAATGCAGTTTTTAAATGATGCTTTAATTTAAGGGAAAAAAGCTGTCCAAACCTACGTGGCCCTACGTGAAAAATGAATTGCCCCTCCTGTTAAATCATGAAAGAACTGCAATTAAGCACATTATTTTAGAAAGCTGAGTTAAATTTCACTAGCCACACCCAGGCCTGATTACTGCCAGACCTGTTGAATCAAGAAATCACTTAAATAGAAGCTGTCTGACAAAGTGAAGCATGCTTAAAGAGCAACACATCATGCCGTGATCTAAAGAAATTCAAGAACAGATGAGAATCAAAACAGTTGACATGTATCAGTCTGGAAAGGATTATAAAGCCATTTCTAAGGCTTTGGGACTCCAGCGAACCCCGGTCAGAGCCATTATCCACAAATTGAGAAAACTTGGAGCAATGGTGAACCTTCCCAGGATTTGCCGGCCAACCAAAATTACTCAAAAATAAAAACAACAGGAAGGGGGCAAAAACCTTTTCACACCACTGTATAACTATGATAACTTGATGTTAACAGTGCTACTGATACTTTCTGCTCCACTCTTACATCTTGTTTAGACATTGTCTGCCCCTTGTCTTCCAGGCCAGCTCGTACCACCTCTTCTGCCCCTTGGCTATCTGATGTTCTCCGTGAGTATCGTTCTAAGCTCAGAGCTGCAGAAAGAGTATGGCGCAAATCACAAAATCCTACTGACCTTAATGTATATCGATCACTCCTGTCTTCCTTCTCTGCTAATGTCTCCACTGCTAAAAGGACATACTATCATAATAAAATTTAAATTTTGTATAACTCTCGCATGCTCTTTAAAACATTTTCCTCCCTCCTTTGTCCTCCTCCTCCCCCTCCTTCATCAACTCTAACAGCTGACGACTTTGCCACGTTCTTCATTAATAAAATTAAAACCATCAGTGCACAATTTTCCACACCACAATCTGTCAAGCACATCTTA